CAAACTACTAAACGAATACGAAACAACTAGTTTCAGAAGGTTGACATTAAAAGATTCTAATCTGGTTGTTGTTTTACCGTAAAATCTCTATTAAACCCCCCCTTGCTGTTAACCCTCTCCCCCCTCTCTAATAAGGTCCCCGTCTGGAGTCGTTTTTTATTAACTCCCCCCCCTCCCCCTCACCCCGTTTGGGGAAATGAGATTTTGTAATCAGTCCATCTTATTATGGCCGAATAAAACTCCTGAACTTCTACGTTTTATGGAGATGTCTTATCCAAACTCTTCCCTGGAAGTTTTGTCGCTGAATGATTTGACCAGCGCTTTCAAAAAAGTTAACAAAATTAACAGACCTAATTGTCTTGCCATTAATTTTTTTTCCTTCTGTGGGCTACTTCATAGACCGATGCATTCAAGTGATAGGAACAATCTTACGCGCATTGAAATTGAACTCAAACAGACAATATTCATGAATCAGCTCTCCTTCTTATATTTTTAGATAGTTTGCTGGTGTTGAAATCGAAGTTTTATAAGGTGCTAAGTAACAGAGCTGACGAAAGCGTTTTGTTTTCGATATGGCAACACTTCCTAGTGCCATTTTTTTATGAACCACGCGCTTCAGTTTGTAAAATATTTACAGCAACACAAAAAAAACGAAACGCCGGCTTCATCCCGCTGGTTCTGTTGTTATAGCCAGCTACATAATCGTTGCCATCGCCCGATAAAAAATTTTTCGCTGAACATTAGTCAGTGACCACAATTTTAGTGTAAATAGCCGCAATTTGATAACATGTTTCCTTTGCGGTAAACCTTCTTAATTCGGGAAAAGTATTCAAGTTGATTGAAACGTTAACCGCGCTTTTATGGACAGGAAACAATCGTTTTCCGGTTGTTAACTGTGAAGGAAAACCGCTAGATAATGGAACGAATACTTCCATTGACCGATTGGACAGCAACGGGAAATTTTAAATTGTCTTTTTAGAAAGTGTTAGAAAGCGTTCGCAAAGTGACGCTTTTTCCAAGAGTGTGAGCTTATTTTCCGATCAGGTGAACAACGTTTTTCTTATTTGTTTTGACATGAATAAATAGGCAATAATTATTTAAGGGAAATACGGTCTAGATAAAGTTTACCTAAGTCAAAAGTTCCTAAATTGCATTGTCCTAATTGGCCATTCATTTAAGCTAACATCATTTTTGTTGCGAGTAATCCCGCCCCAAAAATCGACATTTTCGAATTGAAAGTCGTTTTGTTAACCTTTTTCATATTCAATACAAATTTCACTTGAAGTTTGTAGTCAGTTTTCTCGACGAATATAACCACACTTATACACGCGTGATTAGATGAAGGTCTTTATACATACAGTAATATTAAACATAGCGAATTAAAGAAATGGCTGAGGAAACCAATAAACGGTGAGCACTGTCTGTGCTGTTTCATTTACACTTCATAAAATTTCATTCTTCTTTATTTCAGCCTTAACGTATTCAGTCGGATCACATTGGTTCAAACGGGTATCATTTCGAACGTACGTATCTGCGCTAAATTGGAATCTACGGGATATTATGAGGACTGCTGCTTGCACTTTTTTACTGTTTGCATTTGGTGTTGCCAATGCTACCGAAGACCAATTTACCGATGGTAAGCACATTCATCCCTAAGTTAATAATCATACTTTAAATTCATCTCGGTTAAATATAAACTGAAGGCGATCAAACGTGTACATTGTAAATGTATCTTTCTTGCCGGGATTCCGGTGCGATTGCTTCAATACTTTCCTTTGCAAGAAGGTTAGGTTTGTATAATTTAGGAAGAAACGCGAACAGAGTCTACGGATGGTTGGGGAAAAATTTGAAAAGGATATGAGTCGATTACCATAACCTGATACTCTACAGATCAGCTTCCCGTCAGCTCTGTTTCTTAAACAACTTACAAAATTTTGATTTCAACCTCACTGAACAGTTTCGACCATCTCTGCGCTAAATTGGATCTAGTGGATATTTTAAGGACCGCTATTTACACCGTATTTCTGTTTGCATTTGGTGATACTAATGCTACTGAAGACTATGCTACCAATGGTAAGCACATTTCTCCTTCGTTATTTAATTGTACTAATTTAAATTCATCGCTGCAAAATCTGAACTGAAGGCCCTCAAACGTGTACATTGTAAATGTCTCTTTATTGCGGGAACTCCGCTATAATTGTTTCAATGCTTCTATTTGAAAGTACGTTAGGTTTGCGCACATTTGGCAAGAAAAAGCGAACAAGTCACATCCTCCGCTACAACTGTTTCAATGCTTTTCTTTGAAAGTACATTAGGTTTTCACACATTTGGCAAGAAAAAGCGAACAAGTCATATCCTTTGCAAAAAAATTTGCAAAGGATATGAGTCGACTATCATTTCCTAATGCTCTAGAAGTCATCTTTGAAGAACCTACACGAAAACGTTTTAAATCCTCACCACCTATAAAACCAGCGAAATAGCCATAAAAATATCATTGCAAGGAAATAGTGAAAGTTTTACACTATAATTAGTAGAATTTGCATTTCTGTTTATCTTCAAGCAACTGCCAAATTATTTTATATTGATTTTCTGATTTTTTTTCGCTGTTGGATATTATGTTTCTATGCAATTAAATTCGCGTTTTTACGTGAGGTTGGGTGAAAATTACGTAACGCTGCGGGTAGCGTTCTATTTTTCGCCAGTATACGCGTTGTTTTCGTTAAATAATTTCCATTTCTAGCTGATTTCAACTAAGTTAGTCGTTTCGTTAGTTTTTGCTAGCGCCCTGTTACCGGAGCTGTTTACGCCAAAAATCATAAGTTCGTTTCTATTTCATGAAGCTTTGTCGTCATTGTTGTCGTTATATTTGTACTTAGATATTCGTATTAGTTATTTATTTTCAGTCGAATCATGTTTACATATCTATACGTCTAAATATTTGTTTATCTGGGAGTTAGATAAAACGTGCATTCATGTTCTTTGTCTTTTTTCTCTTTTATCGGTCGGCTTCCCTTAAACCTTAGTTATGGTCTGCTCCAAGTATTCTTTCCACAAGGAAACATTTGACTGGAGTACAGCCAGGGAAAAATGTAGCGATGAAGAGAATAGTTCACTTGTCTCTATGGAAACCGAAAAAGAATGGCACTTTGTCCATAATTTAACCAAAAAAAACCAGCTAACAAAGGTCCGTTGGTTCATTGGCTTGGAAAGGGTTAATAAATCTTATTCGTGGAGCTGGTTGAGTGAAAACATCGCCTGCGTCAACGAGACGTCAAATGGAATATGGCGTTGGAATAAAGGAGAACCAAACAATTTTAAAACAGAAAAATGCGTAGAGATGATGAAAAACGGAAAGTATAACAACATTCCGTGCCAAGCACGCGAGTATGCTGATAATCCAGGATATATATGTGAAAAGCAAGTCAGTAAGTTCTTGATCATGCCGAATCTATGTTAGACCAATTTAAAATTTCAGTGAGAAAAAAAAAAGTTGAAGCGAACTTTGATTTTGAAGCGAGTAACTCGTGTTCATATACTATCTTCTTAGATTGTCCCACCATATCCAACAATTCAGAAAACGATGATATTTTCTTTGAGAGAACAACAAGACCTAGATCAACCCCCCAACCGTTGGTGACAACGACAAAGTCCTCATACAGAACTCAAACGACGAATACTTGGAATAAGCTGACTTCAGAAGGTAAGATTTACTTGGACGGAAATTTGACATCTAATATGACCTTTTTCTACTGCGCAGTTCTTGTCGGATATCGGACTTCAAATTCCCCTCCCTTCCCTGTCCACTTTAAGAAAGAGGAAACACTAAATATGCATTATATATCATTTATATGAAGGGGATGGGAAAGGGGAAAATGCTATAAGCTCTTTGGCAAATACTCTAGCCCTCCCTCTTTATGTTTGGCGGTAGCTGTGACCCATATCAGGATATATATGGTATAGAGATACCACGGTCCTTCAGAAAATCTAAATCAGTAGTTTGTTAAATGCAACTTTGATGGAAATATTCAAACAAAACCTGTTGATTTTTTTTCTTTGAGCGTATCGGCAGTATGACAGTTTTCTTTTGTACAGGTTGAATCTTGCCTGAGTTTTCTACTTGCGACTTTCTTCGATATTTCCCGTTAAAGTGGAGACTTTTGAGTTAAATCAAGTAGAAGATTTCATTAAAAAAAAAGCAAATAAACAAAAAAATAAAAAAACAGGCAATATTATTTTTGAAAGATTGATACCTTCAAATGAAGCACGAGAGTAACAAAGCTGAAGATCTTAATAAAAATGTTTCAGGCTGGGAGGAATAGAAATGTAACGCACTGGTTTATGGAAAATTTGAACCTTTAATATCCTAATGAACGATCACAGTTCGTGAAAGGAAGCATTCTATTTCACTTGGTTATTAACTTAACTTTATCCGCCTTTTCTTTACCGTTTTCGGTTTAATCAGCCTTCGTTTCTCAGAAAACCAATAAGGTGAAAATTTTTCTTTTTTCTTTTTTTTTTTCAGGGACTACGTTTGAGAATATTGTCAGTGAATCTTCTCCACAAAACGTTTCAAGTGGCAAATTAAACTTGGTGTTGATCGTCATCGTGATTCTGGTCATTTTTATCTTGGCAATCGCAGTCGTATTCGGAATATTGTATTTTCGGCGACACCAAAGTCGTAAGAACCAAGGCAAGTTTCTTGCAACATTTGCCTATTTACTTATCTTATTATCATAATAATAATTATTATTATTACTATTATTATTATCATTACTACTATTATTATTACTATTATTATTATTGCTATTATTGTTATTATAATTTCTTTTTAATATGATGAGCTGATGAAATATTGAAGCACAAAGTGGAAGTCGCTCTATGTGAAGCCTTCAGCTTCTTTACAAAGCTGGTTCTTCCATCAAATGGCTCATTTTTCATGACGGAATGCACCCTTATTAAACTCGTTCAATATTTATACCCCCTCCCCCCCACTTCAGATTTCAGTTTTCGAGAGTGACAAAACAGAATGTGCCGTTGTCTTGCATTTTCTTAGGTTAGTTAGTAGCATTTTATGGTGCATTTGGCTTTTTCGAAGACCAAAAATGTAGAGGAGTTTCCCAAAGTTTTTCAAGTTTTTGATTCTCTGTGTGCCCGTCTCTGATTCTGTCTCTGTTCCTTCCCTGTTATACTTTGGGAGGGGAGGGAGGAGTCTGTAGATTGTAGATCGGAAGGTTGTTTTTATGTTATCTTCGCTTGTTATTAACATGAACCTTTTTCCTTTTTTTTATTTGTTTTCCTTTTCCCAACGGCAACGACGTTATTGATGTGTTTTATCATGAATACAACATTACGGCAAGTAGTTTACAGTAGTATACGTGAATCTTTAGTACTCCGCTAACTGATATTTTTTTAATGAACTCATGAAGGGATCTGTAAATAAATTATCCGGGAAATTAGGTTTCCATGAGAAACATTTTTTAAATGTGATCGCTTAAAAGTGATGGCAGAACAATTCCAAGTTGGCTTTGAGTTTAAGCTTCTCTGGATTTTAAAATTGTCATTAAAATGACACAGACAAAAACTGTCCAGTTCTATCTGCATTTTTTTAAGTGGTACTTACCAAATGATAAGAAAAATTTTTTTTATCGTTTAGACAATATATTTTTTCCTTCTAAACCTCATTTCTACCGTACCATTATCACCTTTTCTCAATGGAAATCTCAGTGTTATTTTTATTTAATATATCATGTTTCCTTTAAAGTATACGTTTGACCTGTATAATTAACAGTATGTTACTTCTCTCCCGAAATCTACTTTCGAGGGCAGAATGCGACGCCACCCCAAAACAAATTGCAAAAGATAACATAAATGTCGCTATGTGAGAGATAATATCATTTTGCCTTACAGATCACCTTCAGATCACCTTCACAATCGTGTCACTTGCACCCACGAGGTTCCCCCAAGTTCCGAACTGCAATCGATCGATCCTGTGCATGTTAAACAAATACAGAGCTCTGCCGCGCTTACTGCACACTTAGCACTTTCACTAACGGAATCTGGGCTGGCCACCTATCAGTCAGTGAGCGACTGCAAAAACGAGTGCGAGTATGATGACATAGCTGAGACTTATCGAAATTCAAGGGCAGCAAGTGAGGGATATTCGAATATTCACGAAAGCGCACAAGAAAACACAGTGGTAGTAAGTGATGAGAAAGGAAAACAGCAGCCAACTGCTTTGTGCGATAAAAAAGAAGAAAAAAAAGATCATCTTTATGCTGTTGTTCATAAAGAAAGAAAAGGCAGAGCCAGTTCTGAAGCAAGCGCTCTCAAAAAATCATCATATCACCCTGAGGAAGAAATAAGTGGGTTACCTGTGAACCGCCGGTCCTGTGTCGATTGTCTTGGTTGTTCGTCGCTTCCAACTGAATCAGGGCTCGACAACAACACAAATGCTGCAGAGAGCGAGACACCTCAGGCTGGAGGGAGCATTGAATATCTGTACGCAGCTATTGAGAAGACAAAAAAGCAGAAGAAACAGCTACAGGTAATACATTTCACAAATCCTGAGTACACTTCTTTTTATTTATTGATTTTTTTCTTTTTTTTTTTTTTGTCATGAAGACTTGTTTTACCATCAATGCTGTTTAATCTAAGGAAAAAGTCTTGACACATTTACTTCTTCGATTCAAAATATAAACCGATGACGTCAAGCCTACAGCTGAAATACGGAAGCTGGATTTACTTTTAGTTATGTAAGGGTTCCTCTAAAAACTGCAAAGGTATATAAAAACTGGCAGACAAACGAACAAAAATAAAAAACCAAAAACAAGTCACAGCAAAAGGGCAAGACTGACCTTGTCAGCTAATCGTATTCGTTTCGTTTTTTTCCTCATTAGCTTCAATGATGCTAACGTTATTAGGCATCACTGGTTTCACGAATGATCTATAAGATATTATTGACTTTCTATGTTTGATCTAGAAGCCGCTTCCATACCGTAATCATGCGTACGCAAGTCTGGTCCATTCCCGAGAAAGTAGTGCAAAGCCTGTCAAAGAACAGTCCCCAAACAGTGTAGGCCCAATTTGATCACGCCGAGACAGCGAGCGTGAAGATATCACAGCAGAATCTGGAGAAAAAAAGCAAGGGCGAACATTACTGAACTCTGTTCGTTTCCAACCCTAAAAGTAATTGCATGAAGAACATAAAAATTAACTCACGCCACATATAAAAATGATTAAATTATCAGTAATAATTTTTTTTTTGTCATTATATATAACGGACTATTTTGGTAGAAATAATTTAAATGGGATGGTATCGTCCACATTGGCTTTTCATATCTTACTTCCAAATCTGAGCGAACACGCTGAGGGAACCAAAAAAATATACATGTATAACAATGCGGAAAAGAAAATAAATGTAAAGGAGAAATATAGGAAATCACGTTGCCGGCCCCTTTGCAGAATGCAGAGATCTTTTGAAGCACTCCCACACCCACATGCACGCACTTAATGAAACTCGTAATAGCGCTATGTACCAACCGGCTTGTAAATGCAGACAGGAAAGGCCATGAAATTTAGCTAAAAAAAATGGTAAATGCAGATGATAATTGCTGGGAAAAAAAACAAACAAACAAAAACAAAAAAACAAAAAAACAGGCAAATTAAATAACAGAGGGTTTAAGAACTTTCTAGAAGTGTTACCTTGAAATCAAGCGGTCACACTACAAATACTATTTCTGCGTGGAAATTCTTGATGGAGAAAAGTGAAGACAAGATTTCCCAGGCTTATTTTCTGGCAAAAGACACCGCAGTTTATGACTTTGATATTTCCTTTTAAGCGAGAGGGGAGAGTTTCTCGTCATTCACGGTCTGCAAAAGCCAAACTTGTTACACACGGAAACTTGTATGTCAACGAGCACGCGACATGTGACTTACAAATCTCCTCTCCTGTTACAGTTTCTTAATTGTTAACTGTGTGATAATGATGATAAACAATAAAAATTATAGACTAATGAATGCTTTGTGCCGTACAAATGCCGTATTTGCTGATTTTAACAAATCTCTAAAGTAATAGACGACAGAAGAAAGAAACGTTACGGTTTTCCCATCAACATTTCACTTACACGCTTCTTCCGAAACGTTCAATTTTGCATTCCAACAAAATTTCTTGAAAGTTGTTCACATTTCTAAGCTTCCTTGATCAATTATCTTGTATAATGTAAGGGGCTATAAAGTTTAGGTTTATTTGCGTAAGTGACCGCTTAGAGCCAGAATTGAACGACAGGTATGGTTGCCGAGAAACCTGTCACAGTCGAATATTTTAACTGGCATCCAACAAAAAATTATGGTGGTGCCCAAAAATGTTTTTGGACGGAATTAAATTATTGCTATAGCTTTTTGGAAAGGATAGATATTTGACCTCGAAGTCATCTAATATTTGTATGAATCGAAAAGTTAAAGAAGAAAGCATTATTTAATTGCCTTGACAAACTGTCAATCGAATTGACTGATACTTGCGTCGTGCTTTCATTAAGGATGTCCACGATGGGAGCTATACCAGCTCTGTAGAATGATTTCATATCACTCGATATTCATAGCATGGCAGAATTTTCAGTTTCCTAATGCAGCCTCCTTTTTCCTTAAGAAGTAGCCTAGATGAGTTTCGACCTTTGAAGGAAATTTGTCTTTATCAAAAGAAACTTTTGCAAATAATTAATGCAAATTTTGCGTTGCATCGATAAGGAAGTATAGAATAAGGAAGTCGTGCATAGTTTTTCAGTGTAATGAAGTAAAGAGCTTTTTGTTTGTTTGTTTGTTTGTTTTTCCTTCATTTTCCCGTCAACCTAAAGAGAACTTCAAAAAAAAAAATTCTGTATTGTTGATGACGACTGATCCCACTCCGTTTTTTCTCCTAAATTAACAGCAAATGAAGACTTAAATAATATTAGATTATGGCTACAAGCAAATGAGTTCAGCCTTAATGATGCTCAACGGCTCACGTCAACGATTGTCTAAGCTTTCCCTATAACCAAATGTATGCATTGGAAGAGATCCGATCAAAAAAGTCAAATAAACTTGATTAGTCTAAATGAATCTATTACCTGGAGCAAACATGTTGAAGAGATAACTAAAAATATTACAGCAGGAATTAATGCTTTAAAATGGCTCAGAGTCCAGATGTACTTGTTTCAGTTTATAATGCACTAATTATGGCTCATTTTGATTATTGCTGTGAGGTTCGGGACTCATTAGGAAGTGTATTAGCCAAAAGTCTGCAGTAACTCCATAAGAAATGTGCTAGGGTAATTATGTATTACAAAAACGAGGCTGGACAGTCTGAATTCACCCTACGTCATCTTCGCTGGAGTTTACCAAGCGAAAGTGAAATTCATATTAAGGCAGGACAAATGTTTAAGGCTCTCCGTGACTTGGCACTTGCGAGGCTTTCGAACTCGAACATATTCACAGACTCGTGCTCGGCCAACAACAATCATTTAAGGAACGCTAGTAAAAAGTTGGTCGTTCCATTGCTCAGGCAATAAAGGTGCTAAGATCTGGAGTTCCTCACCGAATGAAATAAGTGGTGTTAAAACTTTGGCTACGTTTGATGAGTTTATTTCAAGCTAAAGACCAAATGTGATATATTAACGTATTTTTTAAGATTATATTTAATGCATTAATAGCTTAAGTCGTGGATATTTTTGTATAGATATACATTTATATGTATATATATATATATATTATTTTTTATTTTTTTATTTTTTTATGTATATTTTCTGTAGTTTTTAACTTTTATACTAAGTTCACGCCCCTCCTGGAAACCAGTTTATTATAATGTTGATGATAGGCTAGCCAGTATAATTAAAGTTGATCTCGATGTTGATCTTGACAACTTGGGGAAGTTTGGGAGGAGGAGGACCTGTGAACAAAAGTAAAAATAAAAAAAATATATTATCACTGCGATCCTTTCAGATAACGTGGTAGCCCGATTTACACATCCCAGGTAACTTGCAAATCTTTACTTTTGCATATTTGTTCGTCGATCTGTCTGCCTATCTGTCTGTCTATCTGTCTGTCTATCTGTCTGTCTATCTGTCTGTCTATCTGTCTGTCTATCTGTCTGTCTATCTGTCTGTCTATCTGTCTGTCTATCTGTCTGTCTATCAATGTGTCTGTTAATCTCTCTATCTCTCTATCTATCTATCTTTATATAATAAGCTCAGTTATGCACGCATTCTGATTGGTTCTCACTTATGATCTATTGCAGGACAGACGTATAGATGACGTCATAATTAAAACTTTTTTCCGTATATTTTAATTCTTTATTATATAAAACAAATAGATTCCAAGTTGCCGTGCGTCTGTTTAGTAATAGATCACAGAGGACGTCAAAATGTGGTAAGAACATCAGTGACACACTCGACTGCGCCTCGTATGCCACTTTTTTGTTCTTACCATATTTTGACGTCATCTGTGATCTATTACTGAACAGAAGCACAGGAACTCGGAATCTATTTGTTAAATCTATCCTGCTCGTCCTATTCTTTACCCACTACTCAAAGATTAAGCGAGCTGCTTGCTGACCCCATTCAAATGATCAAACTATAATTATGTAGAGGACGTGGGTGCACTTGGTATTGATGCACTAGGCCAATGTTCTGCAAGCTGAACTTCAGTTCTAACATGGTTCACAAATACAAACAAAACATTTTCGCATACGTTTTGATGGTGTGTTCAGCACCACAGGATCACTAGCCGTTCCATATCCTTTGGCTGTCTTTGCTTTAACATAAACAATATATTTTGTACCAGGCTTCAACTTTTCCATTAGTATCACAGTGCTCCGAGAGTTCTTATCTAATACTATTTCGTGGTTATGTTGAAAGGAAGTGTTATGTTCTCTTTTACCCTCGAAGTATACCTGAAAATCAAGGAGGATGCGACATCTCAGAGAAAGACAAACAAATGCAGCGCCATTGAGATGGGGAAAATTAGTTCTGAATTCACAGAAAATGTACACACTTATAAGGGTTCCAGTGGCTGGAAATAGGCAGTGCTTCCTTCATTTTTTTTTCCATTTGAAAGTCTACATATGTCATTACTGAAAATAACATAACAAAAATCAGCCATGGCAGCCGATGATAGAGCTTTAAATATCCAAATCGTGCTTATCACTATGGCATTATCTCTCAAAAATTGAAGCTTTCGATTACATGAGCATGACAAAGTGCATGCTAACAGACTAGCCATCACACATTTTAATCAAGCTCGAAAAAAGGACAAATTAACAAACAAACAAACACTAAATCGAAACAAGACGAAACAACAGACAAAACAAAATCAAAATTCAAATGACTTAATGTGGCAATATCCGGTGCAAAATTTTGGTTGATCGGCTAATTTTTTAAATATATATATATATATAAAATTAAACCCCCCCATTAAACCCCTGAAGAGTGAAGCGATTCACGAAACAGGCTTGTCGGGAAATGTAGTTGCGTCGTTTTTTCCTCTCATAATATTTATATATATATTTTTTTTTTTTTGGGGGGGGGGGGGGGGACGCTAGCTCTGTTATTTGGGTCTCACTTGTCTTGTAAAAATTCTGAAAAAAAGGAAAGGACATTTTAAGCTAAGACTGAAATGCAAACTTGCACGCTTCGAGATAATTAGTACGCCTGTTCAAACAATTTAGGTTTGATATTGAATGGAGTTTTGCAGCGTTGCTCACCGTGAACATGGTGATAATTCCATTGTGGTCTTTGGGATCCTTCCATGTAACAGTAACAGAAATGTCCCCTTTGTCAAGTTTCGCAGTGCCATCTCTAGGCTGACTTGGGGCTTCAATTAATCATAACAATCATTTTGAGAGCAAAACATCTATGACGAAGATGTGGAACGTCTGCAGAGGAGTCAAATGGTAATAGGTGTGAAAATACATAAAATGTTAGCATTCCCATGCCCGTAAAACTCGCGGAACAGACGCACACTGAGTGCTCAGGTTAATTAAGGCCTGAGTCAAAAATGATTTTCGCCTCCAGTGCCCCCCCCAGCAAGGTTCGCGGAATTCGCGTGGACTACGCGAGTAACCATAGTTACTTGGAATCAAGATCGCGTAGTTCGTGAATGGCATCCGCCATTTTGAAGTGTCGGCTTTGCATTGATTTTTCCCATCTTCGTTGGTGAATCCGACAATTTAGAGGAAGACATCAAAAGAAGGTAATAACATTTCCTTTGCTATCTTCATTTCCTCAAAAAATTGGCATGATATCGCTATCTTAAAGCCAAAGAGAACCCTTTTGAACCTACGAAGACTTCTAAACACCGTTCTCAACATGTTCATTGACTTCACTGCATATACAATGCAACATGAATTTATAATATAGCGCTCATTTCTAGAGCTCAATAGCGTTTTACAATGTTTGTAACTTATGCATAGAAAAAAGTACTATGTTTTGTAACAGATGCATAGAAAAAAGTTTCATTGTGGATATACCGTTCAATTTTGAAATTAAATTTAGCTTGATAAATCCTCTATCATATCGTGATGTGTATACTTATGGTGTCTATCAAAATTTAGGCTTTTGAATGCCTTGGAAACAATTTCTCCAAGAAGCAGATGAATTTACTTACAAAAGTAATCCCCCAAAGCAGTTGTTAGGTAAGTTTAATTGCTTCTGAACACTCGCGTGTCAAAATGGCGGACACTAAGTTGAATACGTGACTGCGAGTTTTCAAAACTCCTACCTCTAAAACAGTTTTAATTTGTCTTTTTTCCAAATAAATAGGGACCTGTAGGATTACTTTCGTTGACTGTGGTTGGAACCAGGTAAAGGCTAAGATGTTTTCGGGCGAAAACCATGATAGAGGAAGCAGCTTCGCAGAGACAAAACTTGATTTAATCTGCCTAGCACATCTCTCTTTTTTTTGGCAGCCATTCCAAGTGGGAAAACAATGAAAAACGTCTCAAATATTCATAGCGATAACTGCATTTTGATTTGCCTTGTGTTTAGTGGTGGGAATTTGCTCAAGAAAGCAAGCGACGACTTTGGCGCCTAAATTAACTGTTTTTGGCTGTTGAGAGTATCATATTACGCTGCCACAATTCAGTCCGAGAGAGATGGTAGTGATACACATTTCTGCCAAGTATGAGGAAAATCACTCGCAAAATAGCTAAGTTATTTTCAATTTTGTGAAAAATATGGGTTAAAGGCAGGGTGACCCAGGCCTTAATTAACCTGAGTGGTGGCAATGAAAGAGTAGAACAAAGCGGTCTAACGTGTACGCGTGTGCGAACGTTCGAATGACTGGATGAAGTGCTTCCAGGTTGTCAAAACCAAAATTTATTTGAAAAGTTTCAAACAGCTACACAAGCCAGTAAGTCACGGTGTTTTAGAGGCGTATAACGGTTTTGCAAATCAACAGGATACCCATAAATGAATAAACTTTGTGTATGAAAAGTTTCATATTTTCTTTTTGCCTTCTTTCGTTTCCTTTAATGTATATATTTCTATGAACGTGTCGATTCTGTGAGACAGTTGTTGTTTCTTATGTTTTCCTCAGAAGTTTTGCACCTGGGCATGCCTAACATCTGACTGCTAAAAAAGGGTACGTTTCTGAAGAAACTGTGATGTTGGATCCGTGAGAACGTATAAGAGGGTAATTAAGTATTATCAACTAAGCTTATAACGTAAATTGGCTACCATAAAGAGTTTCAAAGCGGACGTTTCGAGCGTTAGCCCTACATCAGAGCGAATGGAGGAACTGTGGGTTGTGCGTGTTTATAATTATGCAGAAATTGGAAGTACGCTATTGGTGGGAATATGGTAACGAGTAAACAAGAATAAATTGTTTATTTATTGTTTATCTTTCAAATCGGCACTCAATCCCCACGGCATCAACGAGTGCTTTTCATTAAACTTGTTTATTCTTGTTTCTCGTCACCGTTGTGTTAAATAGTCGCCTTTATCGTTCCTGTGCTGCTTATGATGTTCATACTCGTGTACTACGCCCCTTGCCTGTAGCCGCAGAGTTACTGTCAGAAGCCAATAGGATGATTTAAATATTAAAGATCCTGATATAAAAAATGGTCCATTTATTGAGTAAAAAAGGGAAGAGAGAAAATCTCTCATCAGGCTTATACATATGAAAAGGTAAGGACTATACCTCCTTCCTCTGTTCTTGCTGTGGCGTAAGCCATTTCCCCAGGTTTAATTGTGGCGGCCTGGATTGTGTACGTGTAATTCGTATAGTACTCGAGACCTGGTATCGGTCTACTGTGTTGCTGCATGTCTGACTCCTTGTCAGCGCTCTGGTTGCGTACGTTTCCGACCTGTAGACCGGTTTTAGTATTATAGATCTTAATGAAATAGAACTTTACAATTCCATTAGAATTATCAGGCTCCTTCCATGTAAGATGAACATCATTAGCTGTTATGATTTGAGCCCTAAACTCCTTTGGCGGTACAGGACCTAGGATGCAAAAAGAATAAATTAAATTAATGATTAGAAGAAACGAAAATATTTAATCAATCAATCAAACAAATGACCATGCAATCAGTTAGTTATGCGACGGAGTTCTCACTCTACAATTTTTTTAGTGTACAGAATACGATAGTAAGAAGATATAAGAGAACGAAAAAAGCATGGAAATCACGAATCACAGGCGACTGATGAGCTTTTCATGAACCATTAACTGTTTTCCAGAATTCATTGTCATTAACCACTTCAAAATTATGATGGAATCAATAATATAATTGATCATAATTCATTACTACAATTGACCATGCCGGTAGTCGCTGCATCTTCTTTCTTTTAATTCAAAACGAATTATTTCCAATTATTTCCTACAGTAAGTAAAAGTCTGGGACTTGAACCCTCGATCTCCCGCTCGGCCGTCCGACGCTCTAGAACATGAAAAAATCTAGTACATAGTTGAATAGATGTTTCCCGGAATACAAGTAACGATTGAAAACCTTGAATCACTAGTATTTACTTACTATCTTCGAAAGTTGTAACATTGAATGTTTTGGAAGTATTTCCGGGTTTCTTTGTACTACTCGTGACTTTCACATAGTAGGTGGTATATTTTTTCAAGCTGTCTATAAGACTTTCCTTCCTTCTTCCAGTCACTTTTCGCACATTACTCTGTATATCCTTACTGGTACCGTAAAATATTATATACTCTTTTATGTCTCCATTAGGATGAGCTGGTTCTTCCCACTTTACAAGAATAGAAATAGAGGAGACGGCCTGAACTTTAACATTGAGCGGATGGCTTGGACCTTTTAAAATAAGTAACAGTATAATATTTGAATAAGTTTGAGAGGTTAAATATTTTCAGAGAACAGTTTGAACTGCCTCAAATTATTCAAAATAGCCATAGTACGGAACTTATTATTCAGTGGCTTAAATAGACACGATGAAGAAAAAAGACACAATGAAGAAAAAAGAAAAAAACAAACAGGCAAGCAAACAAAATAAAGTGAGACAACAACAAAAACAAAAAACCCAGCAGATTTTAGGCTATTTTTGATTAGAGAGTTTGATGTGCAACTCACACCTCGAGAAAACTACCCTTCTTCAGAAATTTAGTGTGGTTTAAACCGATCAAAGTCTCATTCAGTGATATAACTATTTTTTTCTATTGTTGCCCTTTTTTTTCTTTTCCCGACCAAGAAACGTCTCAAATCACATTTCCTTAATTCAAGCATGATAATGAATCAAACTAAATTCAATGACGACATACTATTATACAGTGTCCTGACATTGAAGCAGCGGCTCAGTGGTGACTTTCCAACATTTGTAAACCCTCTAACTTGGATGCAGTAGAACGTATTTGGCTTCAAGTGCGTGATTAGTGTGTTTGTATTTGTTGCATTAAAACTAAACACTTTTTCTGGTCCTTTTTCTTTGTATAAAACCTCATATCCCTGTATGAGGCCGTTTTGATCCTCCTTTTTAATTTCATTCCACTTGACTCTTATGGTGTGCGCATCCTCGGCCTTTGTTTCTTGTTTGTCAATGAATGGAGCGGAACTGGGAACTGTAGTTGCAAGTCAGAATTAGTGAATCTGTGTCAGCTAACATCTTCATTAAACTTAGATATGAATGTTATATTTAAGACAATTGATAAGCGATATTAAGCATGACTTATTGTTAATATGTCACCATTCTCAAAGGCAAATAGCTAATGTTCATAAACTCATTATCTTCTATTTGTGCTCATGCTTTGGTTTTAAACATCTACTGAATTTATTTAAATTCAATACATCCGAGGAGACAACATTCGTTAACCAAAAATAATAAACACCTGTGACACGAAGTGATGCAAAAATTGAATGTGTCGCGTGGTACATTTAAGTTATTTAATTGGTGCTGTATGTGGCTGCCTCCTGCAGACATTGACGAACGAAAACCAAAACCAAAACCAAAATCAACAACAACAACAACAACAACAACAACAACAACAAAAACAAAAACCTATAACTGCACTAACCATCTTCTTTTGTCTTTCGCGAAAGAATTCTTGAGGCAGGCCCGGAAACAGCCGTTTCGGCATGGACTTGAACATAGTAAGTAGAGAACTTATCCAGTAGGGTCAGTGAGTGCTCTGTGGTTGTGGGATACACCTGGGTATTCATACTATCTTTTGATAGACCATGCCTCACCACGTTACGTTTGAAGACACCATTAAGCTTCGAAGACGCAGTCCACGATGCTTTAATAACTGTGGGTGATTCGACCGTCAACTTTAAATTCCGAGGAACTGTAGGAGCTGGAAAAAGTCAAATGTAATATTTCATGTCAGTGGTCTCATTGGAATACTTCATGTATCCAAGCTAAAAGAATGTGTGCTATGTATATGTATAATTATGTTCATATCAAAGTGTTCTTTTTTTGCTTCAAACACCAAAAAGCAAAAATTTTAATAATCATAGCATTTGCTAGTCAATCTAACCAAAAAAACCTCTTTAACTAAATTTTACAGACAAACTTGTAAAAAAATAGTTCCCTTACCTCCTTCATATGGCTGTCTACTCACAGATCTAGTAAACGAACCAACACCAGCAGCAGTGTACCCAGCCATTCGAACAACATAGATTGTAAACTCAAGTCCTGTAAGTTGATCTGACAGTTTATCAGGTCCAACAGTTTTGTTATACTCTACTGCAGATCCATCTACCTTGTAGTAAATATGGTAACCCAACAGCTCTCCATTCTAATTTTTTGTAGGAATGGCATCCCAAGATATGTCCAATGCAAGAGAGGAACTAGAATTGATTTGAAAGTTTCCAGGAGCAGCAGAGGGAGCTTTGGAAATAAAGAAACAAGTGCGACTGTCACTTCCAAAAGAAGAGAAACAACATCAATGAGAGAAACAGCAACATATTTAATTAAATGTAGTTATTGAAACTTTAAAAGTCACAAATAAATTGGCAATAGTCTTGGGTTTTCCTTGAGTCCCTACTTTTCAAGGAAGTACGGGAGATTAGGGAAGCTTGTTCGAGAAGGGAACTTGTTTGAAATTATGACCTAAGGGAGGGGGGTGGGGGGGATGGGCTTATTTGCGGAGGGCACTTAATAAAACAAGGACGCTTTTTATGGGAAAGATGGCATTCAGGTCACAAATTTTATAAAAGCCATACAGCGAACGCAATGTGAAATCAGGACCTACTGAATGTGTACCACTTTTAAAACAGGATTGTCAGTACATGTATCTACATGGAAAATGCACTTTTCTTCAAATGTCTTACCTACTTGCTTACATGTAAGCAAGAGCAAGAGCACAAAACAATTATGATTTAGCAGCTTTTCAATGAGCCAGCATACATACATGCACACTCGCATGCACACTGCCCATAAGGATCTCTGAGTATACAAGTACTTGTGGACAACACAATGCCCACACCTAAATTTTCCATGAATCAAATAGAATAACATCTGAACAAGAACCCTATTGGTCTGCTAACAAACTTTGTACGTAGAAACTGTTGTGCGCTCAATTCGGAAAACTACCGACGACATTTATTAACACTTTAACTCCCATAGGTAACCAAGAAAGAATTTCTCCCAACAATATAAGTATAATACAGAAGACAAGTGAAGAGGATAAAGAGGAGTATCAGTTAGGGGACTATTAGTTGATCCAATACCAAATTCACTGGACTAACATCATCAGAATTGAATGGTAGATAATAAGGAGAATCACAAATAAGATCCTGGGAGTTAACACACCTGACCACCTTAACAACAGTTTCCATATTCTCTACACTGTTCTCTATACATTTTCAAATTTTCAAAGGTGTTGACAAGAATTTTGTTTAACAATCAAAAGCTTATTTAGTAAGTGATATTTCCTTTATTCTCGTGACCTTCATGTTTGATTCAGGGGTAACATTGTTAGGAGAAATAAAAAGCTTGTCACTCTTTGGGGTAAAAGGTTTGAGTAACCTGTCTTATTACTGTTTTACATGTTAATGGTAATTAACATGTAACATGTTATTATTTTGCGTGTTAATGGGTAATTCCATTACTCACTTGACTCTTCAGTTCTTACACTCAGTGTGACTGATCAGGGGCCATCTCCCTTATCATTTTCTATTCTAACTTGAATGTCATACCATGTGTGTGGAGTTAGCTTATCCAGTGTCGCAGATCTGCTCCCTGTAACTACTTTTTCTTGAATGTTGGATATTCCAGTAGCCTGCCACTTAACAGAGTATTCTGTTATTCCATCCCCTACATCAGTATGAGAGCTCCATGATATGACGATTTTGTTTGGTGAAATAGAATTTGTAGCGAGTGAGGATGGTTGGCCAGGCAAGCCTAAAAAAATATTAAAAATATATGCAATAAAATAATGTAGATATTATAAATAAACAATTTAAACGGTAATAGTGACATTGCTTTCCATTCCCTATCAATACGAGGCCACTAATATTATACTGAGGATTGTCTGTTCCTTTCTATCTACCTACAGAAATAAATCTAAAATTAAAGATAAGAATGATTTTCAAGGAGTAAGTCGGCGGAAGGTGTGCTACTTTACTTTATTTATACCAACATTCAGCACTGGTTCACACCATCGATCATTTAGAAATGTTTTTTGGATAGGTCAAGCATTTAAAAGATACAAAGCTAACAGTTTCCTGTTCTAGTGGACGCCGTCGCCCTCGCTGATTTCTTCTCTATGCAAGAATATGAAAATTCACTTATTATTATAATTATGTGACTGTCTATCCTATTTTAAAGGGAGCGCAAAGCAATAAAAACATTGTAGTATCTATAAATCAAAAAAAAAAAAACGGTAAATAAATAAGTAGATATGTTAAAAGAATTCAAGAAAATTGTAGAACAAGAAGCCCTTATTGGCTCACTGTTAGGATCTAAAGAGACTTCAGGGTGTATTTAGAATTTATACTATGTTATTTAATCTTTTTAACCATCTTCCTCGGTATAACTGACTCTCAAGATAAGGACTGGACCGTAATACGATCGACCTATTCTTATTCTCAGTTTCGTTTAATGTGAATAAAGAGTCTATTACCTCCTCCACCTTAAAATTCACATATGAATCCTGCTTTGGCTTTGCGTAAAGTACAGCTGATATCATTGTAGCGCCCAAAGTTATTAAGATAATCTCTGTACATTAGCGCGCAGTTCTCTTTTGAATTTCCGTTGTTAGGTTCTCCTTTTGCCCAGGGCCAATGTCCTCTATTGGACACATTCACTGTGCTATTATCACTTAAGAATCTCCACACTCCAGTGGATGTATCTTTCCTCAAACCTATGAAGTATTCAATGGACTTATTTGTTTGGATGATTTGATTCAGGAAGTTCCTTTCCTCACGACTCTCAATAGAAACAAGGTTATATCCAAACTGTTCATTACAGATTTTTTTGCTTCTATCCCAATTGTACCAGCTTCCATTGCTCCTATAGAAAATGTACCTGGAACCACTGAAGTTCTCCACGCGAGCTAAATGTAGAATTAAACAAAGACACACCCTATCCATTAACTGTTACCCTATAAGCCGATAACACCCTGGTAACAAGTTTAGAAGCAGAAACAAACTGCTTTAACACTAATATTCTTTAGAGTAAAATAGCATCGAAAACCAGCTTACGTGAACGATTTCTTTGTTTTGTATTTTGTTTCTAGCTTTTTGTTTATTTTGTTGTTGTTGTTTTTCTCTGATATGAAGAATATTTGCTACATTTTCAAAGTTCCACTCCGTACCAATTGGCCGAATAAGTATACTTCTTATTATATTTCGGGTTTCTTTTGCTGTTGGATCCTAAGCGCTAGTGTGTAAAACAAGCACAATGCCTGTTGTGCACTAATTTTATTGAACTCTATTTTCAACAAGCCCAATTAAACCACACAAAACTTTACTTTAGGCTTCGTTTACCGAAAAATGGCTGCACCGATTACATAGTGCGATGGGCACTATGGGCCAAGTACGCTGACAAATTACCAATCGAACAAAGAAAATAAAGTTTGTCATTTTTTTTCTTTTCACAGGCAGGCATACTTAATAGTCAGCTTAAAAAAAAAAAATACACACACACACAAAAACAAAAACAAAAAAATCAGTAGATGTTAGTCTAAACATTGTGCTTACTAGCATCACTTTTTACGAAAATGGTTCTAGTAAGTACAAAGAGAGCTGAATATATCGTAAAACACACTTTCTCCATTTCACCAAACAACTGTCTTTCACAGTGCGCTCAAGCTCTAAAAGCAAAATTTGTTTGCAAAACACGGTATAATATGTATATCAGGCGCTTCAATTCCGCACTTGTAAACAGGTAATTTCGTTCAAGTCGAGCGTAGACAAGACTGTCAAAACCAAACGCACGCGCGTGTATCAAGCACGAATGTATTTTTACTTTTTATCTGACGCCTACATCCTTAATAGTCTTTTCGATATTTCCGGCTAACATAAAGAATCCGTATCTCTCATTCTTCTAAAAGTCAATAGCATCTGAAACATAATCGTCGTTTTCCTCTATGATAGGCCTATACGAAATGATTTTTTTAGTTTGGAATCAGTTCTCATAAATCAGTTTAATCTCCTTTTTCTATGATTTCCTCCGTGGCGTATCAGCCCAAACGTTGTTTTGTTTAATCTGAAAAGAGTCTGAGTTTTCTCAGACTACTTTTAGCACTTTCTATTCAATTGTTAAGTGTTGTGCTGAACTAAAATGAAAGTTTCGGTTTAAGCAATGCCTGATAAAAAATGAGAGTACTTTCTATGTTCACCCTTTCGTAACGTTTACGCTATCCCTAGATTTTTTTATCATATTTTAATACATACATATATTTATATATACACGCGCACACACGCATGTATAGATATATATATACATATATTCTTTTTTTTTCGTTTTTTTTCAATTTTTAGGAGTAAACGTTCGGGAACTAATTCAAGGGTGGCAGTTCTGCTAAAACACGTTGGATTTGCATATAAATAAAGACTGTAGGCGTGAGTAGCTTACTTTGCTGTGATCGAGATATACGAGTCATCGAGGTGCTGGGAAGCCAAACAATTGCAGCGAACTCGGTTTGAATAATATCTGGATGAATAGGCGTGTGCCGTGATTTAAGGCTTTGTAAAGAAACTTCTTGCTCCGCTTTAATTTAAAAGTTACCAAATGCGTCCATGCCCATTATACATTTGCATGTCAACAATACTAACAGCCACCATCTATGGTTAGATCTACAGCGCATTATACCTATGTTATGACGAGATTCTCTAAAAATCCACCTTTGAATTTTGAGCTTTTGGTGGGAGACATTATGGATAAATCGTGTTTTGCGGAAAATGATTCTATTCTTTTACTAAAAGGAAGGTCATTCGAAAATTGGTAAGCATGATACTTAAAATAATAGCTTGAGATTGGGACCAGTCTGGGTTAGGGGTGGGGTGGGAGGAAATTGACGGGATCTACAGCCGAGGTTACGATGTTCTCAGAGCTTACAAACCTATCAAAACGCATGCTAGTCAGCGGTATTTTCAAGCAGCTGATGACCTTTATTGGTGTTATTGATGTTTTAAACATATTTTCCGCCATTTGGACATA